ACCAAAATCTTTGGGTTTTTGGCTTTCGCGAAGACTTTCTTGTTTCTTGCCCTGGAACCTCGTTAGTGGGAATATAAAGTGGATCGCAATCTTCATATTCGCTGTCAGTACAAGTTGTTACGTTTTCAATGTCTACTACTTCTGACAAACTGCTACAATTTTCATCAACTGGAAGCTGTTCAAATAAGTCAGCCCTCACTGAGACTGAATCATGTTTACCGCTAGCTGAGTCCTGCTTACCCACCGTATGTTGTTTCGGATAACTTTGATCCACTCTTTCCACATCCCCCACTTTATTCGAATCAACACACGTTTTGGTGATGTCAACTTCCATATTTGTTATTGGAACACTCTCGTGGAAAATTACATCGCGACTGATAGTGAGTTTTTTGGTGTTCGGTTCGATGCAACGGTAACCTTTTTTATTGCCGTCAAAACCAACAAATGTCATTTTGATTGATTTCGCATTCCACTTTGTTCGACGTTGTTTAGGAATATGTACCATCACTGGGGATCCAAAAATCCGCAAATGTGAGATGTCGACTCTTTTTCCGGACCATATTTCTTCTGGTATTTGGTTTTCTATTGATGAACAAATCGATCTATTAACAATGTAAGCTGCCATCGCACACGCTTCAGCCCAGTATGAATCATCTAAATTTGCGTCAAAAAGCATACACCTGGCACGTTCCACTAAGGTGCGATTCATTCTCTCAGCAATGCCGTTCTGCTCAGGCGTATAAGCATTTGTTATTTGGTGTTGTATACCAGACGACTTAAAAATTTTGGTAAATTGCCTAGAACTATATTCCGTTCCTCCATCTGAGCGGAAAATTTTAATCTTACGTTCTGTCTGGTTCTCAACAAAGTTTTTGAAGTCAATAAACGCTTCCATAGCCTCTGATTTTTGTTTCAGGAAGTACAAGAACACTTTTCTGCTGTAGTCATCTATGAATGTAATAAAATACCTGGCACCACCTATGGAGCGCGTTTCCATTGGCCCTACCAAATCCGAATGGATTATCTCGAGGAGCTCTTTTGTGCTGGACTTGCTATGCTGAAAAGGTTTCCTTGATTGTTTACCTTGTGCACACACTGTGCAATTTGCATCAATTGTTTTATCATCAAATTTTAAGCCATCAACAGATTGCTTCATTTGTTTCAGACTCTTGAAGTTTATATGACCTAGTCTGCGATGCCAAGTTATTGCAGAATTTTCTAAATTTACACATGTAAGATGAACCTGATGTAAATTTATACACGCCATCTTTAGGTTTGCAATTTGCATATGGAGTTCCTTGAGAGTCGTATACAGTGCAACCCCTGCTGTCAAATACGATTTTGTTGCCCGCTTCTACCATTCTGTAGACCGATAATAAATTTGCTGATAAGTCTGGTATGTGCAGTACATTGTTAACGTCAACTACTTCCGCATTTAGTCTAAGAGTCGTTTTACCAGCACATTTTACTTCCATTTTTGCATCATTTGCCGTAACAATGTCACTTATTGACGATGATTTGAAGTTAGTTAAAAGATTTGCATTGGGTGTCATATGACTTGATGCTACGCTGTCAATGAACCATTCATTAGTTGAAGATTTGGCTGCTAGACACGAGAAAGCTCTCTTAGCTGAAAACGTTGGCTTTTCTTTCGACTTTGCAGTACAATCATTGGCTTTGTGATTTTTGCCACCACAGGAATAACATTTGATTCCTCTATTTGCATGCTTTTTAAATTGCTTAGGTTTGGTTTTTGATAAAAAGGCATTGTCTGTCACAGGAGAAGGCTTAACCTCTAAATCAAATAATTTTGTTTTAACTTCTTCGGATGACGGGTATGATTGCCTGCCCTCGAAACTCATTAAAAGTGGCATGAACTGCTCTGGTAAGCCGAGACAGTAAATACCAGCTAACCAACGATCGTCAACCTCCCATCCTGCGCTGTTTAATTTATGGTAAAGGGAAGTGATAGTTTCAATGTATGATTGCATGGATTGACAATTGTCGAACTTCACCGAAACAAACTTGATTAAAAGACTGACCGTCCGTAAAAATCCACTATCTTCGAATAGTTTCTTAAGTTTATCCCACATTTCTAGCGCGGTTCTACAAGATCGAATATGTGCGTACATGGACTTTTCCACCGATAGCACTAGTGTAGCTTTTGCCTCGCTAAGCTTGGCTTCGTCTTTCTCAAGAGAAGTTGAGGTATCTGTATTCCTTAAAATGCATTTGGTAAGCCCTTTGGATTCTAACAAATTTTCCATGGCGAAAGACCAATCATGGTAATTCTCTGCTCCAGTAAGCTTTTCAATGGTGAAATCCCTCAGAATTCTCGCCATCGTGTAAAAAAACAAATGATTTTCCTATATCGCAACAAAGCTGGAAATAACCTTTGTTTTTTTATTTTTATACCTATATCGCAACAAATGCTAGTAGACACTTAGTCTAAGGATCAGGATGCTCCTTTTTAGTAAAGCGAGGTGCCCATAACCTGATGGGATGAAGAAATTAATAAAACACGTGCGAGTCTTTTGAGGTTAAAAAAGCAAGAGAGTTAATAAAAGGTTTATTCAAAGTCATCACTAGAGATGTGCAAAAAGATATTTATTAGAGATGTGACAGTATTGGTTAATCTATTACCAACAATTATACACTTTAGACAATTTATTATAAAGTTTTTCACCCTCTTCCTTAATTTCGGAAACCAATAATTTTTTCGTAACTGATCCACAGTCTTTTCCACAGCCATATGACTGATTTTTCCATGAATAGCTCTAATAACATTATCTTCCATTTCTTTGGGAACGTAAAGCATCGTATGCCCTTCATTGTTTCTCCTGAATACTAGACCATCAACAAGCTCAAAATTCTGGACCGGTCCATTTTCCAACTTAGATCTTAGCAATTTAATCGTTTCATCTCTGTTCTGAGTTATTTGAAGGTTAAAATCTATATCCTCAATCCCATCCAACACCACTGTACAGCACCTACTAAGCCGCAACAAGGTCCTCAAGTCGCTAGCCGGCATTACTTGGGGCAAAGACAAAGAAACGTTGCTGGCAACATACAAGGCAATAGGCCGGCCGGTTTTGAACTACGCAGCGCCAGTGTGGTCGCCAGGGACTAGTNAATGAGGATGTGCCAAATGAGTGTCCGGCATGCGGAGAGATCCCTCATGACTCGAAACATCTCTTCGCATGCCCGGAAAACCCGACAACCCTAACGGCTTTGTCCCTGTGGACCGACCCAGTGGAGGCTGCATGCTTCCTAGGGCTGCCGTTAGTGGAACTTGACGACAACGACTGAGATACCAACCGTCCTGGGCGGGGTTGTTGTAGCCGCTACAACAACAACAACAACCTACTAAGCGCATCAACATGAGCCATGGATATCGCTGCCCGGTGTTTCACTTTATAATTATAGTTTTCAAAGGTAAAAACCCATCTAGCTATCCGAGAATTCACTTGTTTTTTATCTAAAGTTTGAGCCAAAGCATTACAATCCGTAGCTATAGTAAAGGCAATACCCTTAAGCTGCGTTTTAAACCTTTCCAAAGCGTATACAATTGATAAGGTTTCCAGTTCAAAACTGTGTAACCTCGATTCGCTCTCAGATGCAGTTTTAGAAAAGTAAGATACCGGATGAAATTTACCATCTTCTTGTTTTTGTAAAAGAAACGCACCAAACCCTAACTTGCTAGCGTATGAAGCTCCGTTTCTTTAACCGGGCTGTATATCGATAGTACAGGAGCAGAAGTTAAACATTCCTTAAGTTTATTAAAAGCCTCTATGCATTCGGGTGTAAATTTAAATATTGTATTTTTCTTAAGGAGGGACGTCAGGGGTTTTGCAACCGAAGAAAAGGACCGAACAAATCGTCTAAAGAATGAAAACAAGCCTAAGCATTGCTGAACCTCTCTAGAATTTTGGGGTTGTGGAAAATTGCGAATGGCTTCAATGCGCATTGGATGGGGCCGAATACCAGTTTTATTCACCATATATCCCAAAAATTCAATTTTAAAAAACCCTTATCTAAATTTCTTCATTTTCAGTTCTAAACCTTTCTTGCGCAACCGCTGTAAAACCGCACTAACAATTTCGATATGGGACTTAAAGTCCTTCGTCGCTATCGTTATATCATCTATAAAAACAACTATTTTCCTAGAGAAGATCAAGTCTCTCAAAATTGCACAAATAAACCGTTGGAATAACGCGGGTGCATTTTTCAACCCGAATGGCATGCGGGTATACTCATACTGACCCCCTTCTGTTACAAAAGAGGTATATTTTATTGACCCTTCGTCCATTTCCACCTGGTGGAAACCATTTTTCATATCCAAAGCTGTAAAATATTTCTTTCCTTCCAGATATTCAATACAATTTTCCACCAAGGGTAGAGGGAAATTATCACGAACCGTTTTCTTGTTTAAATACCTATAATCAATACATAATCTACCTTCGCCGTTTTTTTTCCGTACCAGTACTGTTGCTGAGGCATAGGGTGAGCTGCTATATCTAAATAATACCCTTAGATAAAAGTTCGTCGACTATTGCCTGTACTTTAGATTTTTCTGAAAAAGATATCCTACGCGGTGCACAATGAAATGGTGTGTCATCAGTCAAATTTAATTTCATTTTTAAATTGTAAGGCTCCCTTTCCAACACGGGTAAAGGGTTAAAATAACATTTTACAATCACATCCTGCAGTTGTTTACTTAGTTGTTCAATTAACTCACGATTCAAACTAACTACTGATAAGCTACTCCAGTCCAAAATTCTTGATACATAGAAATTTAAGTGGTTTATTATATTATATTTGATTCACTACTTTGACTTTGTTCGACCATTTCCACTGCGAACGTCTGTATTTGAAATTCTACCCCACCGTGTGCTAAAGGCGTCAGAACACCAACCCTGCCTTTTCTTAATCCTGCATATGACACCACTCTATTACCTTTCCCCAATCCCCCTTCAGACACCGTTTAGCCTCACCATCAAATTTCCTTAAATTAAACAAGGCAAGAGCACCATGGTTTAAGTTCTCTGAATATTTCATCTGAGTGGCATTTTTAATTTTTATCAATTCACTTTTGGAATATTTAATTTTAGTTTTAACTTTACACAAAAATATATTGAATTTCTTCAAGAGATCCCGTCCTATCAGCAATGGTACATCAATAGCAGTATCCGGCAATACAGATAGTTCCTGTGAAACACACTGATTATGAAATTGTACAATACATCTAACATTACCATAAGTCCAAATTTGAGAGTTACCTACTCCTTTATATTTCGACCGCTCTAACTTTTTATGCTTCATATTTGGGACACAGGACCTCTTAATAAAACTTCTCGGACTACCCGAATCAAGAAGAGAAAAAAATCAAAAAACTTCGTGCACTTGCCTTGTCTAACCCCAAAAGCGACACTCACCGTTTGAAGTTCACGAACTGCTCTAACTAATTCGGCTTCCTCCTCATCACATGTTGACCTCTGCTCCGGATTGTTGACAGCTGCGACCAAACCTCGTTTCGGGCAAGTCTGGTAAAGGTGTCCCAACTCCCCACATTTAAAGCAAGAACCCATTGCTCGCTTAGGCTTCGGGCACTGAGATTGGTAGTGGCCGAATGGTGAACAGTTGTAACAGCGTGGTTCCTCGGACTGTGCAGAAGTTGTACCCATAGCATTTGGTTTGACGGTTTTGACACTTGTGGCCGCTCTCGGACAGAACTTTTCATAGCGATCTATCAGAATTTTAAGCTCACGTAAGTTATTTGCTTGGTAAAGTATTNTGACGGTTTTGACACTTGTGGCCGCTCTCGGACAGAACTTTTCATAGCGAGCTATCAGAATTTTAAGCTCACGTAAGTTATTTGCTTGGTAAAGTATTGTTGCCGCCCCTGATTTATCGTTTATACCGGCAATAACTGCATCAAGCAAATCTCGCTCAGGTATGTTCGCTTTACTTGCGATCAACTGCATCTCCAACAGATATCGTTGAACGCTCTCACTGCTTTTCAATTTTCGTGCTTTTAGCTCCTCATATACGTCCAACAGGGAGTAAGAAATGGCAAACTGTTCAATCAACGCTGTTTCTAGGCCGAGGTAATCTGTTGCTATGGCAGTTCTGGCGAATAATTTTGCGGTTCCATCCAACAACCGACGAACACAAAGCAACTGCATTCGTGTATCGACCTGCATTATGCCGAAGACATCCTCGAGCTCACCAAACCACTTGCGTACATCGTAACTATCGTCGCCTGAAAACCTTGGTACCATAACCTCAATTGTAGACATGTCGAAAAAATTGCCCTGATGCGATTGGTGTTGAAGTTGCTGGATCTCCCGCTGCAGCGTTAAGATTTCACGCTGTTTTTTTGGCTTTGAAATTTCTTGCTCCAACTCATCCGCTTTCGTGAAAACAGGTATAAATAGGTGTACAAGTAACGGAAGTAGTATTGTTTTTAGGGATATTAGCAGTAATGTTATCGGTGGCAGCAGTAACATCGGTGGCAGCAGTGGTATCAGTGGCAGCAGTGGTAACGGTGGCAGCAGTGGTAGTAGCAGCAGCTGTATGGGCACCAAGATTAGAATTTTTAAGTTTACCCACAGTTGTATTACTAGCAACTCCCATCACATTATCGCAGAGAGATCGAAGTTGTGCAATTGTTGCTGTTTTGGGAAATTCAATTCCCGCTTCTGTTAATACCTGCATCAGGTTTTCCCTCATGCTGGGTTTGTCCGTAAATTCCAAAATTTATTTATTTTCCGATTCGCTGTAGTTTTTTGGGTAACCGCCACTTCTGATGGGCTGTAACGTCACGGATGGCTTTACAATTCCAAGATTTAATACGAACACCAAATATTTGTTCTGCTGCCTGGCTCGTCCAAAACGGAAGTGGCCATTTCCTTTATTTTCTCTCACATCGGTCATCATACAATGTAAAGAGTTGCCATACAAACATTTACATAACATACAAATGCAAAGAGCTGCCATACCAACATTTACAAACTACATTATAGGTTGTTTACACACATCTTACAACATAGAGTAAGTATTATATCTTTAATATTATAGTTAANTGCCTGGCTCGTCCAAAACGGAAGTGGCCATTTCCTTTATTTTCTCTCACATCGGTNAAGACCCCTTAGAGATTAATTATATAAAACGTAATTGCTAGCTTATATGATCGAGGCCGATCTATTGTCAGAATTGGCCGAGTTGTAAACATAGAGTAAGTATTATAGTTATATGCAACCATGTACTTTTGTAATAGAATTCTTAGATTATGCAACCCTGGGGAGTCCTAATCGCTGCCCTAGTTGTCAAAAAATAAAGAAATGGCCGCTCTCTTTCCGGACGACCAGCAAAGTGAATCGACGTGTTTATTTGTGCTCCTTCAAATCTGCTTGCATCCAGCTAATAGTAATTGGAATTTAAGTTTTATAACATCAGGTGTGGAGCTGAAGTAATAAGCTACTAAGAACTTATTAAGACGAAATGGCAAACCCTCGCCAAGATCTCATCAATATGCTGAGTGACGCTCAGGTAGATTTTCCCCCGTCGGCAACCACTACGCAACTCCGTAATATGTTGCGCAATGTGGTGGGTAGAAGTCACCACTGCCCCCCATGCTGTTCCTGATGCCGAAATTGCCAATACTGGTGTTGCTGCTGCCCATGTTGGCGATGCCGTTGCCGAAGTAGCCCATGCTGGCGATTCCGGTAGGCCATGTTGCCGATGCCGTCTCCAAAAGTACTGCTGCCGTCCATGTCGGGGCCCCATTACTGCTCCAGAAGATGCCGCCGTTGCACTTCGCNGATTGATGGACCTCCAAAGTCCAACCTAGCAGAACTGGGCCAGGAAGTGCTGGCGTTGGAGAAAAGACTACAAATGCTAAAACTAATGAAGCAAATCGAAGAGTTGGAGGGCCGCTCTGCAACGAAATGCCAACGTAAACTCGATTTCGGTGACATTGAGCATGCCTTGCCGAAGTATAATGGGGATGATGTGGCATACCCAGTCCAACACTTCATACGAGACTTCGAGGAAATCATGCAGGCAACGGCGGCGGACGTAAACTTTAAGTTGCTTGCTCTCCGTCGCTCGCTCACCGGAACGGCGCGTGTGTTTGTAACAACAACTGCGCTCAATTATAGCGCTCAGAAGAAGGCGCTAGTAGCTGAATTTGACTTTGCGGTAACCCGCCAGGAAATATATAAGATGCTGGCGCAGCGGCGGTGGATGAAGAAGGAGGAGTCACTCCACTGCTATGTGCTGTCCATGCAGGCTATCGCAAAACGCGCAGACATCGCAGAGCAGGAGGTGGTTGACCTCGTCATTGATGGTATCGGCAATATACCAAATGCCCACTTGCTACTATCGGCAAGGACCACTGACGAGCTGAAACCGATCATTAGCCGATATCAGAATAAATACTTTGCGGTGGGCAGCGCTTCAGGGGCTGTGAGTCAGAAACCTGCAGTACCGACGAAACAGAAAGCGGACCAAAAACTGCTGTGCTACAACTGTTCGCAACATGGGCACATAAAGCCTAATTGCCCATATCCGAATTACGCCGAATACGATGCTGATGCCGTTGCTGTTGGTGCCTATAACTACGTCAGCTTTAAATTTAAGTTAGTTGAAGGAATATTTTCTAATTTGATTGTTCCTTGTTCGATACTGGTAGTCCGGTTAGTTTCATTAGATCTTCGTATGTCCCAAAAGAGCTGGAAGGGAGATCCATGAAAAATTCGGAAAACCGATATAAAGGGATTGGCGGAAAGCTGATATTTATTAAAGGTACAATTAAATGTACAATAACATTTCAAAATAAAACTGAAGAGATTGAATTAAAAATAATTGCCGATAATTGTATGTCCTTTCCGGTTATTTTGGGACGTGATTTTTTGCATTTGTTTAATATAAGGTTGGATAGTGTAAAAGAAGTCCCGAAAATAGAGTATGTAAATAATTTAGATAATTCTGTAAGTGCTTCTGGTTTTCGCGGGGCAATTAATAGAGTAAGGAAAATTATTAATTATTTTTCGGGTTATGTTAGATCAAATGCAGATAGTGTCCCAGACATCCTTTGTATTAATGTACCTGCGAACGAAGATTGCCTAGATATCGATTTCGAGCTGTCAGCAGACCGACGTAGAGAACTAAAGATACTTGTTGAATCTACTTACCTAAAGACAGATATTGTAGTGCAGCCGTACAAATACGAAATGAAAATACACCTAACAACTAACGTACCGTTTCATTGCGCCCCACGCCGACTCTTATTCAGAGCAGACTGATGTACAATCTATTGTAGACCAGTTACAAAGAGAAGGTATTGTTAGACCCAGTAATTCACCGTACGCTTCCGCAATAGTATTGGTTCGGAAAAAAAATGGCAAGATCCGTATGTGCGTCGACTACCGAGCTTTAAATAAAATAACGGTTAGGGATAATTACCCATTACCTCTTATTGATGACTGCATAGAATTTCTTNGCAAGATCCGTATGTGCGTCGACTACCGAGCTTTAAATAAAATAACGGTTAGGGATAATTACCCATTACCTCTTATTGATGACTGCATCGAATTTCTTGAGAGCAAGAAATTCTTCTCTATATTAGACCTAAAGAGCGGTTCCAATGGTCAATATGAATATATAAAAATGCCGTTCGGACTAAAGAATGCTCCCGCTGTGTTTCAACGTTTTATCAATAGTATATTTCGTGATTTAATTGACGAAAGAAGAATTATAATATATATGGACGACATTGTGGTTGCTACAAGTGAATTTGAGAAGCATATGGCTTTATTAAAGATTGTATTAGAACGACTTTCAGTGCGGGGATTAAAGCTAAACTTAGATAAATCAAAGTTCGGATATAAGGAAGTAGATTATTTAGGGTACGAAGTGCGCCAGTTGGGGATCCGACCGAATGGCTCGCACATCCACACAATTAGGAATTTTCCAATACCAACAAGCCAAAANGATATGGACAACATTGTGGTTGCTACAAGTGAATTTGAGGAGCATATGGCTTTATTAAAGATTGTATTAGAACGACTTTCAGTGCGGGGATTAAAGCTAAACTTAGATAAATCAAAGTTCGGATATAAGGAAGTAGATTATTTAGGGTACGAAGTGCGCCAGTTGGGGATCCGACCGAATGGCTCGCACATCCACACATTTAGGAATTTTCCAACAAGCCAAAAGCAATTGCGTTCCTGTATCGGGTTGTTTTCTTACT